TTTGAATCTAGGTTGGTTATATTACTTGCTTTCACCAATATTGTATTAAAGAGAGAACAATGCACAACTTTCAAAAGAGTTATTGCAGCTTAGGTTTTTGCTGAACTTCCATGTAAGGAGGATAGGCTAGATATTAAAGGATAATACATTTTATAGAGAGACCTCCCAAGCTGACAGTGCCAAGATCCTATACATGTTGGTGAGTTCATTTTTTTAATTTATATATTTATTGGTACATTTTAGGTATACAATACATTTACATTTATCATTGGGTGTTTGTACCTCAACATGATGTATCTTAGTTCTTATTTTTCCCCCACTACCTATGTGCCCTTCAACCCCACCACCCTTCCCTATTTACATAGACTTTGTTTCCATTTTTTTTTAGTTCATTTTTGACTTTCCAGTCAAGCCACTTGCCAAATGCAGCTACATAAATGAATCCAGGTGAGATGAACAAAAAATCTACCAGCCAACCTAGAATACAATGCTTCCTATAAAATATTATGTTTTGGGTGATTATTATATAGCAATAGGTAAATAACATACTAGGAAATCTTCAAAAGAACAAACAACAATGCTTAAGTCTCAACCTAAGAGATTTGTATTTAATTCTATTAGGTGGGCCCCAGAAACAGTTATTTAAAAATGCATGCCAAGATTAAAACTACTGACATATGTGTTTTAAACCCATGATTACCTTTTCTACAATTCATTACCATCAGCAACATCATTATTGTCACTTGAATACTTTGTGTTTCCTTCATATACTTCCTTAAGGTGTTAAAGCATCACGTAAATAAATACTATACTGGTATACATGGATGTATAAAAGTTATTATTCTGCTATTACATAGGACAAAACAAAAGATCTTTCTAAGATCATGGAGTTATCATGGAGTAGATCATTTGACTGCACATCATAAGCTTCTTTTAAAACATACTTTACTTTTTAGAGAAGTTTTAGGTAAAAAAAATGAGCAAAAAATAGCAAAATTGAGCAGAAAGATAGAGATTTCTCACACATATCTTGCCTCCACATATACACAGTCCCTTGATACCAGCATCCCCTACCAGAGTGGTACGTTTGGTTTGACTGATGAACCTACATTGACACATAATCAACCAGAGTCCACAGTTGACATTAGGGTTCAGTCGTAATGTTGATGTTTTATGGGTTGGACAGATATGTAATGTGTTCATCATTATAATATCATTCAGTGTAGTTTCACTACCCTAAAAATCCTCTGCACTCTACTTATTCATTTCTTTTCCCCCTCTGTACCCTACCTACACTATTTTTCTTTTACTGTCATTATAGTTTTCCCTTTCCAGAAAGTCAAAAAGTTGAAATCATATAGTATATAGTGTTTTCAGATTAGATTTTTTTCACTTAGTAATATGCATTCAAGTTTCCTCCAGGTCTTTTATGGTTTGATAAGTTACTTTAGACTAACATTCCATTGTCTGATCTACCATACTTTATCCACTAATCTACTGGAGGACATCTTGGTTGCTTTCAAGTTTTACTGATGATGAACAAGGCTGCTATAAATATCCATGTGCAGGTTTTTGTGTAGACATTAAGTTTACATTTTTCAAGTAAATAAATACCAAGGATTGTGATTGTAGGGATATATGATAACAGTCTGTTTAGATTTTTAAGAAATCACCAACTGTCTTCCAAAGTGGTTGTACCATTTTGTATTCTCACCAGCAATGAAAGAGAATTCTTAATGTTCCATATCCTCACCAGCATTCCATGTCATAGGCATTCCAGATTTTGGCCATTATAAAAGGTATAGAGAGCATCACTTTCTGGTCACTGGGAGAAAATACCTGGCATCCACACCTTAGAGGAGAAGAGCTTTATTTTAGCTGACATATTTTAGAGAATTCAGTCTACGGCTGGTTGCTTCCAAGGGAAAAAAACTGCATAGTGGAGAGGTGTAGTGGAGGAATGATATTCAACCCATGGCAGCCAGGAATCAGAGACAGAGGGGCTGGGTTGTGGACAAGAATGTGCTCTTCTAGGTTAGGCTCCACTTTCTAACAGCACATTCAGCCATGGGCTCATCGATGGATTAATCCACTGATGTGAATCGAGCCTCCAGGATTAAATCACCTTCCAAAAGTCCCACTTCTGAATACACGAGACTTTGGAGTGACATTTTAGATATGAACCATAACAAATCTCATGTTGTAATTTAAATTTTTCTAATGATATATGATGTGAAGCATTTTCTCATATTCTTATTTTCTATCGTTAGTCTTTTAAGGTTGTCAGCCTATTTTAAAATCAGGGTGCTTGTGTTCTTACTGGTGAATTTTAAGAAATTTTTCTTTTTGTATTTTGGAGAGCAGTCCTTTATCTGATTCATCTTCTGCAAATATTTTCCTTCATCTGTTGTTTGTCTTTTTGTTCTTTTGACAGTGTCTTTCACAGAAAAGAAGTCTTTAATTTTAATGAATTCCAATTTCTCAATTCTTTTTTTAATGGATCGTGCCTTGGGTGTTGGATCTAAAAAGTCATTGATGCATGCAAGGTCATCCAGCATTTCTCCTGTTATCTACAAGGAGTTTTATAATTTTGCATTTTATATTTTGGTCGTGATCCATTCTGAGTTAATATTTATGAAAGGTGTAAGGTTGGTGCCTAAATTAATTTTCTTTTGCATATGGATGTCCAGTTTTCCTAACATTTATTAGAAGGAGTATCTATTCTCCACTGTATTGCTTTGCTCCTTTGTCAATGATCTGTTGACTGAATTTATGGGTATCAGTTTCTAAACGCTCTATTCTTTCCCAATGATCTTTTGCGTATTCTCTTAACAAAACCATGCTGTTGATTATTGTAACTTTGTAGTAATTCTTATAGTGGGGTATTGTCAGTTCTCCAACTTTGCTCTTCAATACCATTTTGGGCTTTTGCCTTTCCATATAAATGTTAGTGTCAGTTTGCTGCTATATATAAAAAACAATTTGCTGGGGTTTTGATTAGGATTGCACTGAATCTATAAATCAAGTTGTGAAGAACTGATATCTTTAAAACACTGAATCCTGGGCTGGGGATTTAGCTCAGTGGCATCATGCCTGCCTTGCAAGTGGGGGAAAAAATGCTGAATCCTTGGGCCAGGTGTTTAGCTCAGTGGTTCCTCCACCTGCCTCTCAAGTGCAAGGTCCCGAGTTCAATCCCTGGTACCAAGAACAAAACAAAACAAAATGCACAAAAAAAGAATCTTCTTACTCATGAACATGGAATATTTCTCCATTAATTTAGTTTTTCTTTGATTTCTCTTAGCATAGTTTTGGAGTTTTCCTCATATAGATCTTGTACATATTTTGTTAAATTTACACCTAGATATTATTTATTAATGACTGTATAAATGGTATTGTGTTTCAAATTTCAAATTTCAAATTCCAACTGTTTATTGTTAGTATATAGGAAGGCAACTGACTTGTATATTAACTTTTTAAACAATACAATCCTGTTATAACCACTTATTAGTTTCAAAAAGTTTTTTATTTGGATGACTGTTGGATTTTCTACATAGATAATTGTATCACTACAATTGAAGACAGTTTTATTTTTGCTTTCTCAGTATATGCATTTCTGTTTCTTGTCTTGCATTAGTTAGGATTTCGAGTGTTATGTTGAAAAGTAATGGCAATAAAGGACATCATTGCTTTTTTCTTGACTTTAGTAGTAAAGCTTGGCATTACTAACCATTTAGGGGGGAAGTTAGTTGTAACTTTTTATTAATATTTTTATTCACTTAAGGAAGTTCCTCTGTATCCCTAATTTTCTGAGTTTTTATCATGAATAAGTGCTAAACAAATTTGCTACACCTATTGATATGATTATGTGATTTTTTTTAGCCTGATGTTGTGATGGATTACATCATTTCCAAATGTTGAACCAGTCTTGTATACCTGGAGAAATTTCATTTGGTCAAGGCGTATAATCCTTTTTATCCATTGTAGGTTTTAAGCTGCTGATATTTTGAAGATCTTCACATCTATGTTCATGAGAGTGTTGGTTTGTAGTTTTCTTTTCTGTTAATTTCTTTGTCTGATCTTAAAGGCTAGCCTCATAAAATGAATTAGGGTGTGGTCACACTGTTTATGCCTTAGCTTCTGTTGTGTCAGGGATTGGTAGTGAAGGAAATAGGAGCTGAGTGCAGATCTACATTCAGTGTGAGGTGACATACATGCACATGACATTGTAAATAATCATAGTTTCTCTTTGAGGCAAGGGTTTGAGAGATTCTCCAAGAAACGCCAACCCTTGATGGTATTACCATCTATAGACCAAGGTAAGAGGAGTGCCAAGTAAGCTTTAGAGGGTCCACGGAGCAAAGAGTTGGTGGTGGACTTAGATGATGTCCCCTCCTGGATCCTGCACTATCCTTGCTAGAACATGTTCTGGTTATGTAGGGTCACAAAATCTGCTGGGAAATCACCCTGATCTGGTTTCAGGCAACTGCACTGGTTTTTCCTGGTATCTATTCTCTCAAAGGCTGACCTTTACAGTAGTGTATGCAACCCTAGGCCTGAGTGATGACCAATGGATGGCTATTTGTGTGGCTGTTAGTGTGGCTTTGGATAGGCAGACTGGGATGCCTGTACATAAATGTGTAAGGTACAGGACATATCTGGTCATAGGAAGAGAAGGAAACAAACCAGGGGACAGAGAGAAGCTCTACCCACACTGTTGTCTTCTAGCACAGAAGTTCTATGAGTGTAAGACTTCTAGATTTGCAACCTGGTCGGTCTTCTAGGTCTTAATTGTTATATATTTGTCAAGATAGGAGACAACATATTTTATTTAATAGTGCTTAGCTTTGCAATACCTAACCTCCCTTTGGACTTTTATGAAGACCCCTGCAAATGATAAAGGCAGATGGGTTTCATGAAAACCTTCAGAGGAGATCAGATCAGATAAGAATAATAAAAGCAACTTTGAAACGTGAACACTCACAAGAAACAGGGCCAATTTATCCTTTTCCTTCTTTATTAATCCATCCCCACAAGTTTCTGAGTTTAACTCATGAAGTGGTATATCTGTCGAGGACAGGACACCTGGATCTCCTTTGCTCAAGGGCTCTACTCCTTCATCTTCTGCAAAGCATCCAGAGCTTTTCTCTTCCAGCCTCTCCCTCACCTCCAGCCCACTCACCTCCTCTGAGTCAAGCATCCAGAGGCTGCTGGGTTAGGGATCAGTGTAGTTCTGGTCTGTCTCTGCTCTTCTATTTTTGCTGGATTATGGACAGGTCCAGTGACTTAACTTTCTTGTCCAGAGGACTCTTTTGAAGTAGACTCTTCCTTGCTTTGCTCTTTCTTTTACAGAAAGTCTCATTCTTGTCTGAATGGGCTTTCTTATTGGTGGACTGTAGACCACACAGGTCTTCTTTTACTTGTGCATGGTTTATGCTGCACTGTGGATCTGTTCTCGTTAGAGAATGTGTGCTATTGAGTGCCTTGGGGTTAGAATCCAGAGTCTGTGATTGTGCCAAAACTGTGGACATCCCTTGCCATGTTTCCACTTCGGGGCAAAGGGCACATGAAGAGGAAGAAGTGGGCAGCTTTGTGTTTTCTATGGAGGGCACAGTATCTTCCTGTGGGCCTTGCCCAAACTCAGAGCCTTGCTGGAGAACTAACTTCTCTCCTCTCACTCTGTCCATCACTTCCCAAACCACTTGGTCCAAACTGTTCCTTTTGGGGATGTTGTGGGATGGTGACAGCCGATCTCGGGAACCTGTGTATAGGCACATTTTGGAGATAGCTTTCCGGAGGCGCTCTCTAGGTGAGTGGGGTTCAGGCTCTGGGGCCAGAATCCTGATGGATGGCACATCAGTTGGGTTGTAATTCCAGAACATGTGGGATGGTGTGAACTTCTGAACAGGTGTCTTGGACACATAGGAGTAGAGACAGAAGAAGGCATCAGCAGTAGCAGCCAGCGTTTGCACTTGTTTAAACCTGCCTGGGGACAAAGGTTGAAGATAGTGATCTGGGAGCTTATCAGCAAGTTATCTCTTAAATCTCTCACTTCAAAAACCTTCCTAAAGCTCAGACTCCAGAGGAAAGCTTCCATTTAGATTTCTCACACCCGGGGTTCTCTTTCTTGGCTTCTCAACTCCCCATCCTCTGAAGATATCCCAAGTAGGAAATAGAAAATAGGCAAATATTTAAAGACATTACCATGACTTGATTCAGGTCAAGCAGAGAAGGACTAAAGGAAGCAACAGTGCCTGAGGTTTCTTGAAGAATATTTCCTCAAGAGAAAGAAGATTCTAAAGTTCTCCATCTTCACTGAACAGCATAAGAGAAAATAGAAGACACAAGGGTCAATTGAAGCTAACCAAGAAAAGTAGGATTTGGAGCCCCCAGGCTTTGTTGTGAATGACTGGAGACCAAGGTAGAGATGGAGCATGGATCTGTGGTAACACTCACTGGCCAGCATGAGGCAGGGGTCCTCCATCTCAATCCTCTGCACCTGTGCCTTCAAGAAGAGCTGGAAATCAATGCCCTTGGCCTGAGAGGGGTTGGTAAAAAATCTTGCAGGGATCCGAGTAGTGTCTTTGTGGTCCTCTTGGCCAAAGCCTAGACTGAAGAGGACATCTTCTGCATCCTCTTGCACCTGATCCAGAATCTCTGAAATGCTGAAAAAAGGGAGTTTGGATAATTAGGGTAACAACTTTGAGACATATGGCAATCCAGAATACCTAACAAAAGTAACAGGAGACTGAAATTTCTTTTTGGCCAGTTTTCTACCTTCCAGTGTGACTGTGGAAAAGGTTTTCACTACTCTGAACCTAAATTCTCTGTCTAAAACATGGAAATTACAACTCAGTTTCAGTTATAAAAACTAAAAAAAATCTTAGTACCAATTTTTAAATAATTTATTATAGATGAAAAGAAATTTAAGTAAATATGAAAACATTCAAAAATGAAAAACAGCATAGATGTAAGAAATTTGGTGGCTGAATTATTCTCACCTGTACGTGCTGTAATACTTGGCTTTGGCTGAGTGGTTTGTAAGTTACCACTCAGTTTACCCTATTCTGTAGTTGTTTGGGACACTTAGGCAATGAGTGTGCAAAAAACATGGAGTTAATTTTCTTTTCATTCTGAAGGTAAAAGTTAATCAACAGGTACATTCGAAACCTAATTTTGAGAGCCATACCTCTCTTAAGCACCATTTTCTCATAAAAAGCCATGTCGCAGAAGATCAAAGACTCTCTCTGTCTCTCTCTTTTTCTATTGGACCAACCTGTAACCATATCCAAACCTAAGTACCAGTAAGCTGGGTGGCACCAGTGGTCAGTAACTCCATTTTAACAACAGGTTCACGGGAGGTACAGATTACTTGAGGCTTCGGATAATCATTTTCACTCTCTTTAGGAAGGATGCTATATTTTTTGACCCAAATAGGGATACTTGGCTTAATTAATAGCTGGACAGTTAAAATTCCTGACTTGTGTTGTCAGCTAAGTACTCATTTTATCTCCAGAGTCCTAAATTTCCCTATCTGTGAAATGCGGGCACAAGACTGGATCATTGATTCACAACCAGGGGTGCACATTATGTCACCTCATGGGCCTTTTAAAAATGCAGATGCCTGAATCTGATCTCTAGATCTTCTCATTTAATTGAACTGGGTGTTGCTAGGCACACAGCTCAGTGAAGATAAATCACTAACAAAAGCACATGATAAAATTTGTGTGTCAAAACCAGGGCTCAAAGTCAGATTTTTACACCAAATTCCCAACACTTTTCATCATACCACCCTAATTAATAATTTTCATTATTTCCTACCTTGTTTTAGGTTTCTTTTGTGTATAAGTCTTGGCCACTCTATGGAATTATTGAGCTCCTACTGGCAAGACTTTTGTCTGATTCAGCTTTTAAAATTCCATATAGTTCCCATCTGGCCTGCATTAATTAATATTTTATTGCTTCATTAAGTAAAAATTAGTTGATTAGTAAATATGTTGTTTATTGAGTACCTACTATGAGTCTCAGACTGTGTTGGCACCATTACTACACTTTCTGGTGCACAGGATTCAGTGGGAAGAGAGACCTGCATTTTATACAGAGTACCTAGTTTGGAGGAGATTTCTCTTCATCCATCCCCCCTATTCCTGAAGCAAATATGGTCCTATGTTTCTCCAGTGTGCATAGAAAGTACATACAAGCTCAAGTAAGATATGTCAGAAAAAATAGGCAATGGTTTTCAGCTCCATTCTCTTTTGCCTCTCATCTCCTCTACCCTCCCAGCCCTCTGAAATTTAGTACCTACCTTGAACTAGTCTTGTTGGTTGCACTAGTCATGCAGCTGGAAGCCAAACTACAGCCAAGGTCAAGTAGCTGGCAAGGCCTGGATGTCTGGAGGAAACCCCTGTGGAGGTAGAAACTGATGTCGTAAAATCTTGTTGCCAGCCTGCACCTGGCTTCCCCTTGAAGAATATCTTAGAACCAATCACCTGCTGAGGAAACTATCTATGCCTTCATTACTGGTTAGAAAATCTGTCATAATTTTTTTTGTGGTACTGAGGATTGAACCCAGGACCTGTGCACTGAGCTACATCCTCAGCCTTTTTAAAATTTTGAAATAGGGTCTTTCTATTCTTAAATTACCCAGGCTCGTCTTAAACGTGCAGTCCTTCTGCCTCAGTTTTCCAGTATGCTGGCCTTAAAGGCAGTGCCAGGACTAAATTGCCCCACCACATTTGGCTTTAGCTCTTTGTTTTTAATCTCTGGTACCTACCCCAGTTCATTGTCTTCTGAAGAAGATATCATTCAGTCTGGCTGAAGCTTACACTTACCTGGAGAAGAGTTTGCCATTAGAAGCCAGCAGTGTGGCTGGACAGGGAACAGAAAGGCAAAGAGCAAGTTAGAAGGGAAAATGAAGGTCACTTGAGCTGGTCCTCTGAACTTAATACTGCCCCTCTGTTTCCCTATGCCACTACTAGAGGCCAACTGAAACCCAGGAATTCTTTCAATGAGTAGGTCTCAAGGTTGTCTTCCCACAGCTTGGGAAAGGGAACAAATAAGGTAGAGAATACCTGACCTGGAGCCTCTGAACTTTAGCCCTATGACTAATGTGTAGGCAGGAGCCCCTCTGTCTGGAGGAGAGTCCTTCAGCTCCAGACTCAAGTTTCTGCCCCACCACATGAGTCTCTACAGGCCCCAGGAGATACGAGGAGGTGGCTGTGCTTTCATCCTTTATTCAAGCCCTTGTCCTCCTGTAGTACAGTCTTTATCTTAAACCCAGTACTCAGGCTTCTGTGCACTTCTTATAGAGAAAACAGTCTCAATGATATCTGGACATCAAATAATATGGTAATTTTATGTTTTCTTCCCAGGGACCAAAGGATAATTCCAGTAATGGGCCAGCAGGTGTCATGACTAGCTGGTGAGGCCGTGTTTCTAGGCATGTGATGCTTTCTGTTTTTGCATGAGATCATAATGAGGTGATCTTTCCCTAAAGATGTACCCCAGAGAGAGAGAGAGGCTGCTTCTTTCTAAAGTCCTCCCCTCCCATCCTATTCTTAAAATTTATCCAATGTATAGCCTCTTCTTTGATGACAACCTCAGAGCTGTGCCACTCACCCTCTGCTCCAAGTGTCAAGTCATCTTCAAAACTGGTCCCATGACTGGAGAACCCTGTCACATAATCAGGAGAAGGCACAGAACATCTGTCTGAAACCTGCACTCATGTACACACAAATACACAACTACAAACTTGAACACCCACATATGTTCTTAGACTGGCACAATCATGCTAGTATTCACATGCTTGCAAAATTATTCCCTGCTTTATGTATGCTACTGCACGAATCACACTCATGTTTGACTTAGAATCATACAATCACCTCGAGCTAACCTGTGTCCCATATCATACAGTCATGCATGCAATCTCCTGTCAAATAGTAAACACAGATGGTATACACCAATGCACATAGACACACACTTTAGAAATGTACACATTTTAGAAAGCTCTTTTCCCATTGCAGTGGTTGTTAGCTGAGCAGCCATCAACAGTAGATAGTTTTTGAGTATTAACAAACTTGTGGATCTGAGCCAGCATTTTTGTTTGGACCTTGTGGACTGCCTTACAACAATTAAAAGGTACTTGGATTTACATTAAAGAATATCAGGCATTCTTATGCACTTATATGCTTATGCCCATGTATAATCGCACATACCTGCACAGAGCTACATCACCATCAGGTAGAAGAAAAATAGAGCAGCACCCGTACTCACCATTGTAGATGGATTGTCCAGCCTCCTCAGAAAACCCCTCTTCAGAGCCTCTAAAATCCAAAAATAAAGCTACAGGTTGACATAACTACATTTTCCAATAGACTATTCTCAAATATTTCCCACGTGTTCATATTATTTTCCACTGGGAGTGAGCAATACCTAATTTGTTTTCATATTGAGGAAACTAAGACAGAGTAGTTACTTGATGGACAAATTCTTAGATGTAGTCCTGAGGAGCTGGAACTGGAATGGACTATATTTTTGATTGTGTTGCCCTCCCCCTCTCTTCATTGTTTAAAGTCAATTTTCCAATGATTCATCATTCTTTAGATGAAATAAGAAAGAATACAGAGGCAAGACTGGGAAAATATATCTGTAGGAAAAAGGTTTTTGTGCCATAATCTCCAAATCATAAATATAAACATCTATATTTTCTTAAGCTTTTAAAGAGGCTAACTTATCTACCCACACCTTCTTCTTTTTCTTAGAACCATGTTCTTGCTGAATATCACATGTTTCAGGAAACAGCAGAAACTGTATGCTGGTGAGAGATACTTTAAGATTTTGAGATATCGTCCTATCAAACATTTACCATCTCTATCAGAAGAACAAACGGAAACCAGCACAAATAGTCATGAGAAACAACTTAGTTTTAAATACAAGGGAGAAATTCTCTCTGTCGAAAACAGGTGAATGAGATAATCTGAGAAAAGCTTTGAACTAGGACCAGCACACTTATATGGTGTGCACTTGGGACCAGTCCTGGCTCATTGTTGCCACTATGCTCTTAAATGCTATGTAAAAGGACTTAAATCTAGATTGTATCATTATATAAGTCTACTTTGAGCATTGAAATGGTATGAGTTTTATAGAATTTGCTTTTCTAAAAGTTTTTAAATGGAAGCTATGAATGATGCTTTGAATGTAATCTCAATCAGATGCTGGAGTGGAGAAGAGTTGGTGGAGTGAGTTAGAAGCTGCAGTGCATCCTTTGGAGATGGTCTTAAACACCACTTCTTTCCCTTATCTACCTTCAGCAGTTCCAATAACTTTCAAGTTCTTGGTGTATCACTTCATGGGATGTTTAACAATGGAAACGGGTTTGTTAATTGAACATCTGTAGATCAAATTGTGCTTAAATTTTATAAAATAAATAATCACATGTTTAGATGTCTTTTGTTAATACTTTCCTTTCAACAGTGAATAAAAAACAACCATTATTTGCAAAATTGAATTTTATGTCATTATGAAAAAACTACACATCAAGGTACATTATAAAATGTGAAATATTCAAGCTAATTAAGAGTAAACTGGGGCAGGGGATTTAGCCCAGTGGTTCCACCGCCTGCCTCCCAAGCAAAAAACAAAGTAAGTAACTCTAATAATATAACTAGAAATAGAAATATATACTTCTTTTTCTAATATATAATAACAAAAACATGTTGTAATGTAATACTACAAATGTTTTATATATTAAAATATTAATAGAAGTTAATATTTACTATGATTACTATGGTAATCTAATCTAGTCATCTACTACTATGATAATAGGGTCATCTAGTACTACCATATTACATTTACTATTGCACTTAATGCTTGTGTTATCACTGCTCAGGACAAATTGAGCATCCGTTATTCAAAAAGCTTGAGACCAGAAGTGTTTCAGATTTTGGATTTTTTTGAATTTCCAAATATTTGCATGTACATAATGAATTATCTTGGAGAAGGGACAAAAATCTAAACACAAAATTTATTTATGTATCTTAGACAGTACACTCTATAGAAAAAGCTTAAAGATAGTTCTGCACAATAGTTCTAGTGTGTCAGTATTTCAACTGTGGCTCATCACATGAGATCAAGTGTGACTCCACTTATGGTGTCATGTCAGTGCTCGAACAGTTTCAGAATTTGGAGGATTTTGGATTTTGAAATTAGGGATGCAAATCCTAAGGTCTGCCATTACCAGAAACTATGTTTAAAACAGACTATTACTTCACTTCTGAAAATGAAAATGCCTTCATATATTCATCAAAAGAAATTCTAGTCATAATAACCAAGAAAAGAATCCCCAGAATCTCTATTTATTGTAAAATGGAAAAATTGTATGATAGTTATACAATTTAGTACTACATTATGAGTGACCTGTTGCTGCATGCAAATACATAGATGAACATTACAAACATAATGCTAAACAAAAGAAAAATAAATAAAATAGTACATATTTTATGATTCTATTTATATAGAGTTAAAAAATCATAAACCTTATCAAATTATGTCAAATTAGTGGTTACTCTTAGAGTCAGGGTAGTGCATGGAAGGGGACAGGATGAAGGCTTTTGCAGTGCTGATAGTGTTCTACTTCAGTTTTCTTTGTTGCATTCCCTTTGTGAAAAACCCATTGAGCTATATATTTAATATTCATTTGCTTTTTCAGTAAGTGCATTATACTGCAACAAAATTTATGTTAAAAAATAAACATGCTATTGATATGTATGATATAAAGGAAATCTCATTGCTATTCCTGAGATACAAGTTTTTGTTAAGTGCTCATCTTACAGTCCTCTTCTGGAGTTATACTCTGGCAGAAATTTTATGATCCTCTTTTTTAGGACAAGCTCAGGATTTCCTGTGTGTGTGTGGGCTCTACCCTAGCAGTATGACATGGGCTGGATCTGTTGATACCTTTTCACTGAGCATCATGATTTGAAACTTCATGGATGTGACCCAAGTCCCAGTAATTTTAAAGGTTATTATATAGGGTATAAGATCAATGACCAGGCACTATATTCATATCATTTTTCTGCCCTGACATTGAAAAGTTCTTTAGCATAATTTCAAGTCTGAAATTGAAGAGCTAAGGTACTTAGCTCTTGTATATCCAATTCATGAACAAATAGTTGGGAGGGGAGTGCATTGTGAGAAGAAGCATGCGACTTCCAGCAGTTTCCATAGATGCCTATCGACACAATTTTAGTTGAAGGCCACTCTGATGATTTTTGGGCTCTGAACTCTACCCATGATTCCTCAGCAACATGTTCATGTTACAGAAAGCTTAAGAAAAGAAAAAGAAGAGTATAAAGATGATTTTTTTATGCAATGGAATACTACTCTGCCATAAAGAAGGATGAGCTTCAGACATTTATAGCTAAATGGATGGTCCTTGAGACCATACTCATAAGTGAAATAAATTGGACACATACGTTTGAGTGCTTCTTTGTTTCTCTGTGTGAGGATCCAAAAGTGGAAATAAGGACTAAAATTGGGGAGATTGAGTCAGTAGTGTCCAAAAGTTGTGGGTTTCCACCTATTTTGGGCAAGGAGAGGTCATCCCTATGTCTGGGACTGAATGAATATTTGAGACTTTGCCTAATGGGAAAGACATCTTTGGAATGGTATTTCCCAAGTCAGAGGCAAGAATCCCCATAGACGACTAGATGGGGGCTGTGTTTAAGAATGGAGCCTTTGAAATATTGAGGGTCACAGCATTTGGCTATTTCCCCAAAGGCCTGTATTTTAGCTTTTTTAAACATCCACTTAATCAGGCAGTCTGAACCCTTTTCCCCACCTGAACTCTGACTTTCATGCTCTGAGAAAATATTCCACAGGACTGGGCTCTCCTTAACCATCTTCCTTCCTTCTAATCTATGTAAATTTCTGTGGTGGCTATCTTATGTAAAATACAGCAAAAATTTATTGTACAAAGTTTTATTAAATGTTAAAGGAAACATAAAAAAGAAGATAGAGAAATAGGAAGTAGGGAGTTCTAATAATTCCCCTAATTATATATTCCATGGTTTCAAAAATATTTCAATATATAATTTATTCCATTTTTACCACTATGTCCTCTAAGTTCATTGAAAAGAAAGTTTTGTGCTATTATCTATTTGTTTCTTTTTTGTAAGAGTCTTTTTTGTCTATGACTTTGTCTATGACATTTTGGCCATTCTTTTAAGATTATGGTACACAGCGTATTAACTACTTAATTTATGAAATTTTGCTTTATTTTTTCACGGAAGGCTGTTTTTAAAAATTATTTTCTTGAGCTGGGTATTTAGTTCAGTGGTGCCATTGCCTGCCTCGAAAGTGCAAAGTCCTGAGTTCAATCCCTGGTACCAAAAAAAAATTATTTTCTTTATTAATATCTACTTGTATTACATTGAAATAAAGTTTTTTCTAAAAACAAATAAGAAGTATAGTTTGTAAAGACATAGCAGAATGGACTGCCACTAGATTCAGTTGGACCAAGAGACATTGACACTCCATTGCTCAGGAAGGTTGTAGATATTCTTGGAGAACTTGTTAGAAAAGAAAACTCTCTTGCTATCAGGTGTTTGGCATTGGAAAGAAAATGGAAACTCTGTGGTCTTCAAACCTAAATTGAAAAGTGTATCCCAGAAGACTTTCAATATTACGACCAGAAAATCAGGGCATAGGGGATTCCTTGTCCATCCTCTTTCCCCTATAGTCTTGACAGACCAAGAATCAAAGACTGTGGAGACTCAGAATGTCATAACTAGAGTATGCCTTTCCTCTATCCTCTTTATCAAAAGCTTTTATCAAAAGTCAAGTGTTCCCTCATTATCACCAATCATCAGCATCCTTCAATTTTTCTAATTTCCCCACATAACTAAAAAGTCCATCATGTACTGCCTAATGGCAGACATATGTTCTGAGAAGTATGGCATTGGATGATTTCATTGCTAATTCACAGAGTGCCCTCACACAAACTAAGAGAGCTACAATGTCACTAACTGATATAATCTTAGGAGACCATTGTAGATGCAGTTTGCCATTGACTGCATATGTCAATAACAGTGCATGAATGTATTACATAATTATCAGAGAGAATTAGAACACAGGAAAAATTGGAAATGTTTTCTAAAACACTTTGAAGTTTAAATGAAGCTTTTTTTTCTTTTTTGGTACTGGGGATTGAACGCGGGACCTTGCACTTTTGAGGCAGGCGGCAGAACCACTGAGCTAAATCTTATCTTTCAAAAGCAATGACAGCACCTTTGTACTTGCCATCCTATTTTTACACATGTAAACATTTTGTCATATTTACTTCAGAAAGAAATAAAATTTTAAGTAACAGAATAGAAAACTAAAAATAAATGAAATATTAAATAAATGAAATATTAAAGATATATCTACAGTCTCATTTGACCTATTTTCTAGTAGTAACCACTATCCAAAAGCTGATGTGTGTCATTTCTGGATATACTTTTTCTGGTAAAGAAAGAGATATAGATAGATACAGTGGGCCCGTGAGTTACGACTGGCCTGACATAAAAACAACTTGGGTTATGACAAGAATTTTAGCTTAAACAACTTGGGTTATGACCAAAGTCTTGAGTTACAACCTGAACACCAGCCACTTGTGCTTCCAGATGGTCTCAGATACAGATTTAACCATTAAAGAGTTCTGGAAGGAACATTACAACATCCTTTCCTTTGTGGAGTTAATTGAGAAATTCTGGGCTAATGTCTCTAAGGACACTGAGATCTGCCTGTATACAGGAGAGAGACTTTGAAGGCTGTGTAGAGGAGCCTGAGCCTTCACCTGACCAACTTGAGTTACAACCAACCCTCGCGAATGAATTGAGTTCATAAATCAAGGGTCCACTGTAGTTAAGTCACTGGATGGAAGGATTTATTTTATAAAATTATAAGCAGGTTAAAAAGCTCCTTTTAAATGGCACTACTCATATACTATTATAGAGCATGAAGCACTTAACATATATCATTTCCCTTAAATCTGATGGAAACTTTGACACTATTATTCTAGTCTCTTATTTCATTTTACAGGTAGGGAATCTGCCATGGAAAGAATTCAGTTATTTGCTTATAAGTGGCCACACAGGTAGTAACAGAAGAATTATGCTAAAACCTTGGAACTTTTTCATTCATCAGAACACCTTAAACTTCGGCTCGGGGTTTGTCTTTGTAGAGCATAACTGGGGTAAGGTGATTTCTAGAGCTTACAGTCTTGCATTTCTGTGAATTTATTCCAATAGAAGGTGATATATTTGCAATCATGGAGTATACTTTAAAATACCTCATACCTCTTCAGGCCGTTCAGGCAATCAAACATTTTGAAAATGCACAATTAATAATTGTTGATGTGAATTGATAAGACTCAAAAGTAGTTAACAAAATAAAGATATTAACTGAGCCGAAGTTTCTCCTATACACACACGGGCAGCACTTGGAAACCCAGGACAGTTCTTATCCCAGGTTTCTCACCCAACCCTGCAAACGTGCTTGTTACCATCACCCTTTTTCTTCAGGTATTTTGAAGACCCCTGAATTGGTTTTGAAGTCAATGTATTGTAAATAAGATTGGGACAATAAGGACAACAGGTTTTGCAGACAACAAAAACAAACGCAAAATAAATCCTTCTTGGCATTGGCTTCCCAGGCAGAGTTAAAATGAACAACCTTGGATTATACAGTGCTATTTAATTCCTACCAAATAAGCAAGGATGGGTTGATTTATGTCAGCTAATAGGTGAGTTTAGATTAAAGTCTATATAAAGCTTAAGACTTTCTTAGAGGGAAAATAAGGAGCAGGCTGAGTTATAAACTCTGAGAAATCATTCTTTCAGAAACACCCAGGCTTAACTGGGTTACAGAAGCTTTCGTTTATGTCTGAGGAGACCAAGTCTAAAATGATAGAGACCAATGGGCTGCAGGTTCTCCTATTTTGGTGTTTCTGAACAGAGATGATATCATTTGAAGTCTTGCATTTTCTCTGCTTGTGCCAGCCCTGAGCCCCTCCCCCTCCATTCTGCAGTAAGAACAGCACAGTGATGAACTTCTGGTCAGGAAAAATGATCTGCTCTCTCACTTCTCCTCTTCTGTCACACGATGTGAGACATCAGTCAGTCGGAAGGGGAAAGCTGTGCAGTAGGGATGTGAAACTCAGCCTACCCATTCCACTCTGGATCCTCAGACCTCCAACTGAATTTTAGTCCCTGTGGAGTTGAATACCAACTGACCCCAAATCCCTTCAACGCCTCCACCAATCATCGTTTCAACCTTATTTCCTCAGGCCCGGTTCAAACTCATTTTCCTACCTTTTCGTTCCCAAGGGTCCTGCCTGTTAGCACATCCAACCATCACCCATGTCCAGCCCCATGGTGTGCTCAGACTCACCTGCAGTCCTGCAGCCAGTCTTCAATCTTGTTGATTGGATTCTCTAGAGAAGTTAGATAACAGATCATTGTGAGAATGAAAGGAAACCAGACCTCTTCTCTGCCACTCACCCTTATCCCATTCTGCAATTTTATCCTTATGTAACCACATTTTGACCCCTCCACCCAATCTTTTCTGTAAGATGTGAATAAAATAAAACCATATATAAAGATAGTGGATCGGTCTTCTCTTTGCCTCTTTTCTCCTTGGGAACCTAGGAAATGTCCAAGCTTATCAGCTCACTTCTTTCTTTTCTTCAAGTTTTGGGAACAGAGATGTCTCCTTTTCAAAAACCAAACCAAACCAGAAAAAAACCAAAACAAACCAAAACAAAATAAAACAAAAGCACAACTGTGTGCCTTTTATGTCCTACCAAATAAGCAAGGATGAGTTTATTTCTTTCAGACTTCTTGTCTTACTCCCATGTCTGTGGTCTCGTGTGAACCTCTGAGAAGCATGTAGGAAAGTGCCCACTGCTTCTGCTGGACAAGTACGGCTTAGGCAGATGACTTTCCAAAAGTCACACAGCTTGTTAGTGACAGCACCATGTCTAGAGTCCAGGGACAGCTTGAGTGTAGTGTTGTTACATAAACGAAATAGAAATCCCCCGTGGCATTCATACACAGACAACCCCTAGCCTCAGTTTCTTACAGAAGCTTCTCTGGATGGTACAAAAATGTCCTTTTCTTTTTCCTAATCTTATACCTGCTTCTCTCTCACACAGCTCATATCTTGTATTACTTTATGCCTCTTTTCTTATACCCATTTAAGCCAGACAAAGTGAGCCTTTCGGAGATTCTACTCCAAACAAAGGGCCTGCAGTCCACCCACTGCAGACCTGTGCTTGCTATCACATTCTCCCTACTGGGAGTCTGTGTAATGTCTATGGCCTCTTACCTTCCTGGAAAACATCATCCAGGCTGGAAGGCTCAGGGTCTGGGACATCCTGCAGGGCGGCTGCAGCTTCTTCTTCTAGGACCTGCGTCTGCCAGTTACGGCTCTGACGGAGCCAAGCTCGCCGTTTCTCCCAGGATGTGGGGCTCAGCACAGAGGCCTCCATGGTCCTGGTTCACACTTCGGGGCCTCTCACCACCTTAATGATGTCCCGAGAGTTGAAGCACAGTGATCCTTCCTCAGCTTCTGTTCAGAAACCATTGCTCCCATCCATTGCCTCAATGCTTCCCATTTCTGCTAAAAGCTGCCTGACTGCTGTCTCATCAGGAGGGAGGGGATGCCTCCCCCCTTTCCACCAAAAGGGAGTGCTCTGAAAATATCTAAATACTGGAGCAAATCTTTTTAATCAGAAAGTTTGAAAGCTTCAGATTTCACCTGATTTGAGGGACACTGAAAAGCTTTTGTGATTTAGGTTTAGGGTTAGGACCAGGAGTGTCTCTACTTCTTATGGCAGATGTGGAGGGGGAAGGAAGGGAAGGGAAAGGGGATGAAAAAAGGAATTGAGATGTGTTCTGTACATGTGCCAACTCCATACAAGGAATGTGATCACTGTGTACTACCCACATGACTAATAAGCTAACTAAAATATAAATAAATAAATAAATAAAACCTTGTCTCCAAAAAAAAAAGGTTTTCTTTGATTCTCAAGGATTTTGACTCTCAGAATCATCCATCAAAACTAAAATATCTTTCAATTTATAATGTATAAAGTTCACTTTTCGTCTTGATTTGTTTTGTTTCCTGATATTAAGGGTCCACAGGATTTTTCTCAGGAAAAAAAAAAACGCCTATGAAAGAAACACGGAGACATTGCCTTGAAGCAATGAGCAGACAGCACATTTAGGATGATTACTTTCTAATTTGTCTACTTGAGTTTCTACATAACTGTGAGATGCTTATCCCATTTATCGGTGCAGTTACTGATCCATATACTTATATTTCACTTAACACTACCTAATCAACACTTCTGCATATTTTTAAAAATACATAACAATGGCTCTATGCACAGATTCAAAAAGGAAGAGAAAAGGAAAGACTCATTCAATTGTCCAGAGGGAGCTTAGAAAGGTTGGAGGGTAACGCTGCCTCTTCCTTCCAGCCACACTCATGTCCCATTACAGTGGATAAGTAGATAGGGGACCAGGACTTTCCTGTTTCTCCTTTTGTATTAGTCAACCTTTTGTTGCTAACATAAACAACTTAGAAGAGGAAAAGTTAATTTTGGCTCACAGTTTCAAAGTTTTCAGTCCATGATCAGCTGGCTCCATTGTTTTTAGGCACGTGGTATGGCAGAAACATGGTGGAAGGGAGTGGTGAAGGAAAGTAGCTCACCTCATGGCAGCTGGCAGCAGACAGCTCAGGAAGAGCCAGAGAGGAAGGGGTTGGGGGACAGATTTACCCTTCACAGGCATGTACCCAGGACCTGCTTCCTCTAACTGGGCCCCACCTCCTAATAGCCCAATCAGCTATGAACTCATCAATGGCCTAATACACTGATGACGTTAGAACCCTTATGAATGAGTCACCTCTCTAGGTCCCACCTCTGAACATTGTTGTACTGGGGATTAAGCCCTTAATACCTGAAACTTTGGGAGACACTTCATTCTTAAACTGCGACATCCTCTATTTCCTTGAGCTGTCATAAATGACATCATCTTCAGAGCTATACTTTTAATTGTTGGAGTTAGCAAAAATAAAAGAAAAAAATAAGAGTGCCAGTTTCCAGAGACTTCTGTTCTTCCAAGACTTAGAAACAAAATCATCAGTGAGGCATTCAACAATTTAGGTACTAAAATAGCTATTTTTGAAAAGAGCATCTTGAGCATAAAATGTTTTTCTAGGGCAATAAAATTCTTTTAGATGCCTCTGCTTACCACAGGCAGAACATATCCAGAGAAAAATAATACATAATTACTGCTGCCTGACATGAATTCTTTCACTTCAGGTCCAGTCCAAGACATTTTTTCTCCCAGGAGAGATGGCAGTTAGCACAATAAGACTTTGTGTTCACTCCAGGCAATTGGATTTTGTGCCTTTTAGGGGACACTGAATTTAGCTTGTGCTGTAGGGGAGCCACCAATGGGAGTAGCAGAGATGACTGGTTGTTCTTAAATGATGAAGAGAGTGTGAAGCTGCCACCAGAAAGAGTTCATGAAGAGAGTCTGAAAAGCCTTAATCAGAGTGTGTTTCCTAGTCCCCCTTTCCAAAATATTTAATAAGTTAGTCCTTCTTGTCCCAGAGGAGAAAATGTCAAAGGCTGATTTGCCTATTGCCTGTAATTCCCAAAGGAAATGGACCTCACCCAAATCACAGGGAATCTTCAGTGCATAAGAAAAAGATTTTTGGTGACTAGGGGAATTTAAAAGGAAGACATGAGGTCAGAAATGCAGGATGACAGGAACACAAAAAAGAAGAAAAGAAAGGGGAAAGAAGGAGAAAAGAAGAAGGGGAGAGAAAGGGATAAGTGACATACATTTTGCTACTAACTAATGGTATACTGTAGAAAATTCAAACCCTTTCTCTTGTCTCAGTTTTTTGGTGATGACATCACAGCTCTAAATGTTCACTATTCCAAAATAGGAGCAAAATCTTTGTAAATAAGGAGGGATGGAGGGGTTGAAGGGAGGGCTGGGCAAGGGTGAAAAATAAGAACCAAGAGAGACTATGTAAAGGTGCAAATTTCCAATGATGAATGTCATTATATTGTATACCTAAAATGTACCAATGATTAGAATGAATAATCGATAATGTAAAATAGGAAGAAAAGGTCCAAAGGGGTTGGGGTAGCGGGAGGGGCAGGGGAAAGGAAAGAAGGGAAAGGAAAAATGATGAGAAATGGAAAAAATGGAAATAAAGTCTTTGTAAATAGGGAAGGGTGGAGGGGGTGAAGGGAGGGCTAGGAATGGGGAAAAAATAAGAACCAAGATGCATTATGTAAAGGTACAATTCCCAGTGAGAAATGTAATTGTGTTTTATACTTAAAATGTACCAATAGAAGAATTTAAGTAAAAAAAAGTTCACTATTCCAGTACTGTAAATTTTATAAACTATAAACTATTTTAGATCTGAATCCCCATAATGCTTACCATAGTGCTAGAATCTCACTAACTGAGAAGATGAGGGCTTCAACATTGTATGTGATGTGAATCTACTTTACAGCCCTCTTCCATCTCTGAAAATATCTCAGGGTGATACAGGGTAATTTCCTTGGCCCTTTCAGTCTCTAATTTTCTTATATTTTCCCCACCCTTTTTCTTTCTCTCAGTCTTTGTAGCACTTGACCTGCAAAGCTCAGCTCTTACCAGCTTCCTCTGTGAAGCCAGACCTGGCTTCTGTAGCCTCTTTAACCAGTGCCACTGAATGCTTTCCCTGTGGAACTTTTTCTTCTTAGTTATCACCAGTACCATTCCCTATATTTTATTTACTTATCTAATTAATTGTTTACCACTAACATACTTTCTGGTTTTTACTTACTTATCTAATTTATTATTTATTCTTCTGATTAGAATATAAGCTCCAAGAGGATAGAGATGCTCTTCTGGATTATTCACCACTGAGTTTCTAATGCCTAAAACAGAATTTAACACATAGTAGTTGCTTAACAAATACTTATTGTCTAAGTGAATAAATATTCTGCAGGTGACTATTTTCCATGGGAACCCAGTGCTGTCCAGAGTTATCATAGATGCAGAGAGATCAGCTTCACAATTGTAATAGTAAAATTTACCATCTGTTTACTGAGCATGTAAAATGTTTTGGGCTTAAAGTTGGAGAATAGACAGAAGGTTATTATCTGACTAGTTTTTACCCTGTGAGTACCCATAACAGAAGTTGTATTAGCATGGTGATTCCTATTTGCAGTCTGTTTCTATATCCTATATACAGAAGTTTGTTAAATATAAACACCTAATGGAAAATGCTTATGAAAACAGAATCCTTATTGCTTAGAAAGTTCTCAACAAAAGTTAACAAACAAATGGCCATTATAGTTATGGCAACAAAAATACTAGATAGATTAAATACTTTACTGCTCACTGAGGACAGTCATTTTCCAGGCAATTCAGGTGAGATGGGATAATTCGTTCCTTGAAAAGGCAACAATGGTTTTCAGTCTGAGAGAAAAGATGCAAGTTCTTCACAACTTTGATGCACTGCACATGGGCTGGGGAATTGAATAGATTAGTTTTTCCCAATCTCTGCAACACTCTCCATGGTGTATTACACAGAATACCGTAAGAACAGCAATATTGGGAAGCAGGGAGAAATAGAATGCCTGGTTCATGCTAACAAGAGGAAGGTGTACTACGGGAGATAAGAAACTGGTGTTCTTTGTGGAAATCTGGAGGAAGTGGCAAATGTTTATCAGATAAACACACCAGCAGTGAACGTTTTAGAGAAAATTGAAAGATGAGCACACACGGATTTCAGGATAGCAGCTTTGAATGTCTTGAGGCCCCTTGTAATAGAGAAAAGGACATGGAGATGTTTCCTTCAAATAATTTTTTTAAAAGCATATTTCTCTAACAGTGAAAAAAGTATTGATTAGAAATAAGGTGACTTAGATAATTTTCCATAATTTTTGTCTGATTAGTTGCCTTCTGGCAAGTCAATTGGGTTTCCCATTTGGACACCAATCGGTTTCTAGAAAATGAATTGGTGAGATCCAATGTTATATAAGTTTGCCTCCAGGACTAATATTTATGAATTTATTTTCATAAATTCTAGATGAGTTTGAAATATTTATGGTAGTGTTTTTCAAAAAAAATGTATTTGTTTAATTTTCTGATAGAAGTACGAAATGGTCCAGTAACCCTTGGAGTTACATCATTTAACAAACTACCTTTGAAATTCACACTGAGTTGTGGGGTTCCTAGATTTGCAACTTTCACTGATCCAAGAATGTGGTGAGCCTGAACAAGAGAAGCTGAGATAGAACCCAAATGAATATGATTCAGTCAATGTTGCTCATTGATCCCCAGAATTTCTTGTGTTTTCTGCTTTTTCGCTTTAGCTTACAGTTTTACCCACCTTTTTCTCTCCCCCAAAAAACCACATCTACCTTTTAAAATCCTATTCAAGTCATCTTTTTGTAACCAACCTCTACCAACCAGAACATGTACTTGTGCCATATTCAACCAGAGAGTGAGTGGCACTCTCATCATTAAATACCACTCCTTGTGACTCTCCTATAAATCCTTTCTCAGGCTCAGAACAGCATTTTTCAGTGGAGGTGGCTCTCAGTAAATGCCGTACCTGCAGAGAAGCAAGAATTGTACTGGTGCTGAAAAATTATTCTCAACTACTATATGTCATTGAGACATATGTCCAATGACAGATGCTCCTGACCTTCTTCATGACTTCAGATCCTATTTATATATGCTGCCAAACTTAGAGTGAAGAAACAAAAAGCTTGAGTATAGCATTTCCAATCCTTTAATGGTATAGCATAAGGATCACATAATTCTGACTAAATTAAACTAACAAATCTTCCTATTTTGAAAATTAATTTCCAGAGTTTCCCATTGTAAGTTTGTATTCATTTCTTAGTCAAAAGTTCCTTCTGGAATCTAATACCACCCTTCTTGATACTAGTTTACATTATGTTACTATATTTAATCTATGCTCTATGAGGGCACAAATTTGAAGTTTATGGGAATCTTTTCTTCCTCTTTCCCACTAACCCAGGAAAACCCCACCACTGGTTCTATTGCTTCTTGCCCTAATCACTCCAAGCCTTATTTCCTCCTCTGTCATCATCTCCAGCCATTTGTCCTTTCCACATCCCTATATGTCTCTAGAGATTCATTCCCCAAATCATTCTCTAAAATATGTCAACAGTTCTGGAATCTGACTACTACCAAGTAGAGTAACAGCATTCTCCTTGTTCTCAGCATGTTTATAGGAAAAACAAATTGAAGCAGTCATGCTGACAAATCAGGACCAGAGAAACCATTTCTAGTAGTTTAAGAAAAGGGAACTGTTGAAGAGCTGTGAAATGATTATCTTCCAACAAAAATTATCACCTGAGGCAGTACCTGTGGCAGTAGAATACTTTTAGGGATATATCATTATTGCTGCACCGAGAACATCACATACTTCTTGTCTCTGTTTTCTTAGGGATGAAGTTGGAGTTTTACTATACATTGACATCCATGTGTGTAAGCAAGAGGGATATGTAGTAACTGGTAGGTATAGAGTACCTGATATTTGTCCATAAACCATTCTGTAAACAACTTCATTTAATCCTGGCAAACACCTTTGCCACCTAAGTTCAGAAAGGTAGGTTCTACTTGAAGGAAGAAAACCTGTCCAGGATCCACATTTCTTTCAGATTATGTGGCATTCAGAGCACTTAGCAATGGTTTTAGGGTGTTACTGAACAACAAGAACTTACAGTACTCATAACCCCCTATTGGCCTTGTAAGTGCCGGGCTGGTGTGGCACTGAGTTTTGGGGATCACACTGGGGAAATTTGTGGTAATATCTGGCATAGCTGGGCTGGTGATGAGCACTCAGAAGGCTTGAAACAATGAACACTTATCATAATTTTCTGTGGACATATTCTGATACTTCAACAACAATCATAGGCCTACCAATCTGTTCCTGCCAAATACTATCTCTGCTTATAGGAACTTCAACATGGAGATTTTTTTTATTTTTTAATTTAATATTATTTTTTTAACCTGGAGATATTTTTAAAGAGCCCAGTAAGAGGGCCAATACTTCTTATTCTTTAAGTCCAGAGTGTTATTTAGAGACCAAAAATGGTACACATACATTGGGCCTTGAAATCAGAGTAAGACTTGTTTGGAATCACAATTCTGCATGCTCATACATGTATGTCCTTGGTAAAATTATGTGTTCCCTCTATATCCAAGTTTTTTTCATATGTAAACACATAATATGCCAAACTTTTCAGGTTATGGGAGGTTAAAATCAAGTAATATATAATATATGATAGAGGTGAGTAGTGAGTATTATTAATCTGTCTTCAGTCTAAAAAAATAGGTACACTTTTATGAATAAGGAAGAAGGAGGAGTGAGCAGCAGAATACGCCAGAGGGTGAAAAATCTAGAAGATTAAAGATGGATGTTGCTGCTAGGTAAAGGTGAACCTAGAAGCAGTGAAAATTCCTCATTCTCATTTAATGCCCAGAGATCAGAGAGATAATCTAATCCTGATTACTCATTTTGCAATGGAGGAAAGGGGGGGGGGAGAGGAAGGGGAAAGGAAGAGGTTGAGAGAGAGATAGACAGACAGAGAGATAGAGACACACAGAGAGAGAGAGAGAGAGAGAGAGAGCGAGTGAGAGATTTACCTGGAGTCACATAGAGTGTTAGCAGTTTTACATGGGACTCAAACTAATAAGTTCCAGGCCCCACATAGGTAGTTTCTTCATTTATCTATGCACACTTTCTCCTGCCACCTATCCTCTTGGTTTCTAAGCCCCAGTCTTCAATGCTCTGTGCCCCCTCCTAGGGATATAGATCAGACAGGCCTCCCCTCTCCTCTGTCACTGAGCCTTTGCCTCAGGCAGAACTGGTGAATTAGGACAGAAGTGAAACAAGAATACTAGGAGAGAAAAAGAAATAGTTTCCACGAT